AAGCGTGAGAAGAGCCTCCTGAAGTTGGAAGGTTTGTGTTGGCGATGTCGGATGAGGCGATGGTTTGTTTCAGCGGGATGGTGGTTGTCGCTCCGGGTGCCTGGTGCATGTCGACGTAACCAGCCACCATTAGAGCCAATAAGCGCCATCCTACGCCTCCACTCTGTACGTACCTCGGTGTAAGTGAGTGCCTGGCGCAATCTCCACGTGACTGATTAGGTAAGGAGCGATCAAGCTTTGTTTTCCTGGACACCTTACCTAAGATACTGTTGCTAGCTGTAGGTTTTTATTTACATTAGCGCATCTGTCAATACAGCTTTCTCTCAACCGACTCCTCGTGCAGACGATGTGCTGTGAGAATGGCTGGCCTCACAGTCCGAAGGGCTCCTTATAAGGACTTCTTGCAACCCGCGTTGCAACGGCGATTTGCCTCGACGGCTATCATTCTTTTAACTGTTTCCTATGCTGAGGCTCTCGCCTTGGCTCAGTGGAACTCTTGTGAGCAACGCATTGCACCAGACCAGAATCCCCAATTGCTAACGCTGCATAGTTATCTGGCCCTGGTTTCCCCTTGGAGGCGCGGGAGTTCGAACAGCATTCATCTTTACCTGCGGCCTTGCGATCCTCGTCCTCCGGATAGCTAATTACCATGTCGGGCTTCGAACGATCGGAACAGGCAGCCAGACCTTGAAGGCCAGCCTTACCAAGCTCTCAACCTACGAGACCGCATTCTGGTACTTGTTCTCCAGCACCCTATTCTCTCCAGTGTTCCTCTGGTCGATGCCCGAGTCAGCAAACTTGAGTTGGGTCACCTACTTCAGCGGCGATCGGGCGAGAGTCAACGAGCGCACCCTTTTCTTGACAAGCTATCTCGGATTCTGTGCTCTTTGGCAGAGCATTGACCATTTTACAAACGACATTGATCGTCTGGACCTGGGAATTTCCCGTCAAAATGGGACCAAAGATCAGTCGGCTTCCCTCAAAAGGGTTATTTTGCAGTTTCCTGGGCTCCTTGCAAACTCGGTGCAAATGGCCTTCTTATCCTACATGGCCTCATTCATCGCATACTTTACCGTCGTAAGGCCCATCGCCTGGGGCTGGGCTCTGATGTTTCTCCGCCCATTCTATAATCTACCCAAGGCGAATCTACTCCCATTGACCTGGCCAGTGGACGTGTTTCTCGTTATTCGCTGCGTCTTCGCTGGGACCTTGCTCTTCTTCATGTGGTCCGCCGCCAATATCGCATTCTCCATCTTTATGGTTCAGGAACCTCTGAAGAATGACCAGCCTCTAACATCTGAGTCAAAGGACCCCAATGGGAGTCTTCTGAATGGCTTGAAGAGCAAGAAGCCCTCTATTCAGGTAAGCGTGGTCTCAAACTTCATAACCCTCCCTCAGCTTCTCAGTGTATTTGTGCTCTAACACACTTGTTAGTTCTTCGCTATGTGGGAACTTTCCCGCATTGCCGAGAGGTTTGAGCCCAGACGCAAAGCTATTTACGTCGATATTGACCGAAAGGAGGGGCCTATGTGGTCTCAAGTTTACGCTGTCTGTATGGATGTTGTCAAGAGCATAGATACTCGGGCTAAAGACTATGGAAAGCCTCCAGCACCTGCTCAGCCAGCGCAGGCAGCTGTGAACCCTAGATCACAGATCGCCAACTCCTCGCTACGCAACGACCCTATTTTCAGCACGTCGGCTCCAAGTTCGAGAGCAGGAAAGTTCGCGACACTCATCGACCAGGGCGCGCATGCATTAGGCAGCGGGGCAGCCCATGATAGCGGCAGCTCACCATTGTCCAAGCTCAGTCCTATCGCCAAGAAGACTTGGGCTCAGACCAAGGATAGTGTTCTGACAAAGGAGCAGCAGGATGCTGTATCCTCGGAAGGCATCAAAAACAACTTCCAGAGTACCACTCTACAACTAATGAAGTCGCTACGCTGGGTTGACCTACTATTCCGACAAGATTTCCGCACCGCATTTACAGCTGCGGTGCTAGGCGGACCATATGCAGAGCCGGCATTTTACTGCCATGCGGTGAACGCTCTGTGTCAATTGGCTGTTCACAGCTTGGGAGAAGACCAGTTTGGCAATGTCCATCGAGATGTTCCCAACATCATTAGGACCCTTACCTCGGTGATCAAAAGCGTTGAGGCATTGAAGCAACGGTTCCCCGTTCACTGGACCGATACTGGCTCTGACAAGGACACCCCAGAAGTTGATCAAGTTCTTGAAGCTCTGCGGACCGGCCTGGGGCAGATTGTGGCCAGCTTCGAGCCCTTCAGCCATGATCTGAGACTCACTCAGGGAGATTTGCGCCAGGCTAAGGAGGCTGCAGAAAAGCCCAAGCCTGCGGCACCCCAGGCAGTAGCAGAGAAGGAAAAGGTTCCCGAAAAGACTTCTCGTCAAATTATCACCGAGAAGGTGACCCAGGATTCAGAGACACGGCAGCCTTCCAGACGACGACACAGTCGGCCTGAAATGGAGCAAGTGAGGCATAGGTAGACAGCATAAAGCCGGCGTACTCAGGGGGATAAAGCGGATCGGGAGGCTAATTGATACCACATGATATATGTAAAAAAGGTCGAATATGAATTTGATTTCTCCAGCACATTAGGTAAAATGCACATCCTTATTGTACCATATCGCATCCTTCTATCTCGTTCAAACCTCTTCGGCATAAGGCCGCATTCAACAAAAGTTTTGACGGTTAGATGATCAATGTACCTAATCTCATGTTATTGAATGTAGTGTCTTAATGACTCTATTCGCAGCTGATACTCATTTGATGGGAGGTATATCCAGTCTTCACGTAGTAGTGAGGCTATCCCCTGTCCTATTCGCGGTGGATACCTACCTGCCTACCCTGTGCCCCGCCCCGAAATAGCACCTGCGTAGCACCTGTCCCTTATAATGACCAACCTCCACATCCAACTTCTGGATCAGTCCCTGTCAGTGTGCAGACCAACCCCTTCACCGGTTCCAGCGAGGAACCAGCCTCGCGCCACTCCTTCCATTTGTACTCCCATGCTGTCATTTCTCGCCAATTCTCTAGTCATGCGCATCAAGATACCATCATAGAATATCTCGGTCGCATCCGCGGACCTGAGACACTTCGAGCACCGCCAACATGATTACAGCACGCCAACTCTTCCGTATCGTCTACGGCTCCATCTATCTTGTTCTCTATGTCATTCTTCTTGCTTTGCTACTCATCACCCCCGCCGACGCCATTATTCGATCGATACAAAACCGCCAGACTTATAACATATGGATTCTTGTAATCTTTTACGTCGTCACCGTCCTCATCGTCACCTTCATCTACCTCATGCGACTTTACGTCAACAAGACTGTCCTCGCCGCGATCCCGAAATCCACCCTGCCGATCAAGCCTGGTGATGTGAATAGGGCCGTACATGCAATCATAGAAGCTGGCCTGGAGCGCAGCGCCGCGATCGCATTCGAGGCACGCCCGAGTGCCGACCCGAACAAGAAGGAGGGTCAGCCAGGACAGAGGGTCGTCCCTCCAGCGTCAGAAGGGCTGGGCATATCGCGGCCTCTGCAGAGCAGGATCTGGGACGACATCGAGCACCATGGCTGGTCATCCCCCAACCTGGCCGACTTGCCCGACCTGCAGTACTCCACCGTTCTCTCCGAGCTTCCAAACTTAATAGAGGCCAAGGCTCTCACCCTCGCGCCACCAGACCCGGCCTCGCAGTCCGATCCCCCGGTCCTGGACCCGGAGGCAGTGGCTTTACTCCAAAAACCCTCGTATCTAAGTCTTCGGGGCTACATCGACCAGCTGACCGCGCTGGGCGTTCTGAATGTCGACGACACGGCAGCCAGCTTTCTGGAACGTTACGAATACGCCCGCTTCTCCACCCGACCAATTTCGAATGCAAAATTCCGTGAACTGATGCATCTATTCGCGGAGATGCTTCGTTCTATGCAGACCCTAGATCTCGATGCCTTGGATGCAGAGCAAGAACTCCGGTCGTACACCGAGTCCTTCGGTGATCCAAGCAACAGGGATGGCGCCATGACCCCCAGAAGCCAGCGCTCCAAAGCTGCCACTGTCAGCTCACAGAGCTCAGTCAGGCGGCCCATGCGGAGCTCGTCCTGGAACCTGTACCGGACTGCACCAAACACCCCTCACAGCACTGCCCGGGTCATCTCTCGCAAGTCCAGCAGCAGCAATAGCTTTGCCCAGTCTCGGAATCCGTACCACGTGGACGACTCTCGCTCACCCAGCCCCAGTATTCGTTCTGGGAGCTCAGCATCGGTGATTCGCCTTTCCACAAACGAGGACAACCAGGATGGCCCCTACGTCTTGAACCTGAGTGGCACAGCTGAGAGTTTAAGTCCGGCCCAGAGATAATCAAGGAGGTTATCATGCCCAGTCCACATTATATCGTGGGAAGGATGGTGCTTCATGTTTCAATATCTAATATATCTAATACCATGTATTTTAAGCCGGTACATAGGGCGGGAAATCGGCCCTCTGGCCCTCAACGGCAGACCAGTACGACTGACGAGCATAATCACGATCACATCATAGCGACTTTCAATTTACCTAATCTAGCATATTAGTTGCGCAAAAAAGCAATTTGCAGAAAAGAACTCCTATAATAAATAACACTAGAGGTTTTCACCGTCTACTTGATCTATCATATTGTGCAGCTTCCAAGCTCCCAATTTGTCTTGGTCGTCAGATTAAAATAGGTAGCTGACTCGTCTCCACAAAAAAAGTTGCAGATCCCCAAGCTTCAAAACCCCCAATCCCGTTCAACCGTCATCGCAAAATCTAGCCACCACATCTCCAAGACTTTTCACCCACCCTGACCTTCCCGCCCGGCCTGGGCTTCATTTGCGCCACAAACCCTCACTCTCACAGACATAGTCCGACTCAAGCGCTCTAGATTACCTACCAAACCCTCCTCAGCGCAAAGCAATTCCTCCCCAGACCAAATCGAGGACCGCCTCTCCCTCAGCCGCGCGCAATGGCCCCCGACAAACCCCCTCCCCTCCCCCTCGCCCCCGACCGCGCCGCCCTCTCGAACCGCATCTCCCTCCTCCTCTCCGCCCAGTCCTCCGTCCTCAAGACCATGAGCCAGTCCTCCGCCGCCGCCGCCAAGCGCCAGCCCCAACCCCCGAGGCACCACCACCACCGCCCAGACGTGGAGGACCTGTTCCGGGAGCACGCCCGTCCGAACGAGGGCGTGGGGTACGTCGCCGACGCCGCCAAGGCGAAGAGCGACGATGCCGCGAGGGAGGACAGGATGTTGAGGGGCCGACTGCTGGGCAAGCGCAGAGATTTGAATGCCGGGAGACGGAGGGCCCGGCCGGCGGACGAGAACGAGGAGGATGACGAGGGCGGCAGGAGCTCGTTGGGTAAGAGGAAGAGGCCAAAGAGGGCAGCGGAAACTGCCCAGGAGGCGGTGGAGGCAGAAACGAGCCACCTGGCTCCTGAGGGCAACGTGGATCAGGATCAAACAGACGAAGCGCACAATGACTTGGACGACACGGGAACGAATCAGAGCAGGGAGCCAGGTAGTTTCGATCTACCAGACCACAATCAGTCGACTGCAGAAACAAAAACAAAGAAGAAGAAGAAGAGGAGGAAGAACAAGAAAATTCAAGAATGAGGGGGTCTCATAAGCTTAAGTAAATACACACATGAAACGACAATACACATAATGAGATCACGGCTTTGGTCTTTTTTCGTAAAGAGCGGAAAGTATTAAGTCTCTTCTCAAGTAAGTTCTCCTCTTGTACAGGAGCATGATACCCAAGGGCTAAAGGGGAAAATCCAATCAAGATCCATGAGATCTGCCAACTCCTTTTGCTGACATGATGAGGTTGATGGCGGGTTATCCAAGAATGCAAGACCCAAAAAAATATATACGGTCATGGCTATGTCTGCCTCGTTCCTAACATAAACATACTCATCAACTTTCGCGGGGCAAACCATTTTACAGCCTCCGCGCCAACCACAGGGGTATCACAGCAATGCTCCACGTGCTCTGCACAATATTAGTCCAAAATGTAGATGGAGATGTAGACCTTCGACCAGCCCTAGGATTCCCAGGTAGATAGAATCAGGTGGCGAGGTTTCGTCGGTGATATATGAGACTTGCCGTCCTGGCAACAACATGAATTGAGGCTGCCTGTATACACAGGCCACACCTCCTTGTGCGCTCAGTACAACAATATCAAGTTGCGCATGTTGCACTCTTCTTTTCTGTTAATCAATCCTTGGCGATACTGCTCCCTGCAGGCGATCCAAGTACGCAGTCGACTTGGAATTAAGTACCGGTCAAAAACAATGAGAACGTTTCGCGGCCTGGGTTCGATCCGGTGTTGGTCTGTGGTATACATGGCACAGTGGCTAGTTGCCAAAAGCAGAATACTACATCCGTTTTCGCTTCCTGTCGTCATCTCCACGCGGATCCTCGCCTTCTTCGGCACGCTCGGTGGTATCGCTAGGGTTAAGGATATGGGCCATGCTTCCTCGGCGTGTTGGCGGCCCCGAAGAATCTTTCAGGCTCCTGCTAACGGCAGAGCCCCAGGTCCAGTTGCCAAAAGTTTCTGCGCCGCCCCCTCCCACTCCATTGGACATCGACGGAGGGGTCGTTGGCCGGGAATTGGGATGAGGATTAGACGCGGTCTGTAAAGTGTAAGACGAAAGTGATTCCCGGATGCGCTGGTCCTCTGGAGGGACACGGCTCGGTGAAGAAGGATAGGCAGCTGTTGAAGTGGCGCCGAGCGGTGACATTCCGGTTTGCCAGCCATGAGCCCTAATGTCAGCCGCGGTATGTCTTCTTGCCATACTCGGGTGCTCAACAGGAAGCAGATGCTGTCCGGGCGGTGGAGCCGGAGGAGGGTTGCGTGAGGGAGAGGACTGGGCAGTACCAACCCCACCGATCGAGCCAAAGGGCCGTCGTGCGCCTACCGACAGGTTAGATGGTACTGAGGGCCGATAGAGATTTTGAGTGCGCGGCTGTGGAACGGTCAAGTTTGAACGCCTGGTGTCGTCTTGGGGAAACTGCCGTGGAGAGATGGGAGCGTTGTCAATGTTAGAGAAAAACTGCTGCCTGGTGGAAAAGGATGGAGGCTCGCTGTCCTCCAAAGACCGGATAGTCTCAGCATGCCTCTGCATGTCTACTTGGAGCGCCGCAACTTGATGTAATATGTTAGCCAGGGGTATCCCGCAAAACCAATGTTGTCAGATCTCAACCTACCATCTCGATGAGCACTACTGTCGCTGGGAACAAGCGTGAGTATCGTCTTTGACAACTCCTGATTAAAATGAAGGAGGCGATTCAGGATGTCCACGGCGGCTTGACTCCGGACGTTCGCATAATGGGCATTCTCTTCGGTTCTTAGAAGTCGAGCGCTGAGCTCATACACCGTCTGCTCCAAATTTGCCAATCGACTATCACCAGTCTCGGGATTTACGTGTATTGGCTCTGCGGGCGTGCCTGGCTGCGAGGAGACAGGCTTCGTGAAGTTACTTTCACGATTTACGAGGGCATGGCGACTCGCTCGCCTCTTGATCTCCCGAAGCCCATTCAGATCACCCCGCTTGAAGTTGCCACCGCCATGCTTGAATTCCCAAAGCGTACTATCCGGGTTGCCAGTGTGAAAGACATCTCGTTCTATATGTAGACACCAACCGAATTAGGTACGTCTTCATAGACACTCCCGCCCATGATAGTAACATACCTTTATGGAACCCATACATATTAAGCTGCCTCACAAAGGAGGATATGTTGGTATGTTTGAAATATTGTCTGGATATCGTTAGCCTCTAGAGCGTTGCAGAAGGTTTGCGTTTCCACGTCTCACTCACGATAAAACCTTTGAGAAATCAGGCGAGGGCGACATGACAAAACTGTCGGCCGTGGATGACCAAGCTATCAAGTGCCTAATGTTTTGATCTTCGAGCATGCTACAAGACGTATTAGTCAACTGAATTCCTCGGGCAGCCTCTAATGGAAATTCCCTAACTTGTAGAGCTTATGAATAAAAGCCGTTTGAACGATCTTTGGTTGGTGGATAGCAGCGGCAGCAGGTGGCGGGGCTACCATCGGGATGGGATTTGAAGCCGCGCTTTGTTCTTGCGGCGAAGAAGTCTTGGAATGATCATTCATCTTGCTGTCGGAGTCGTTATCCGGCCCTTGGCCAGAGGAAGGGGATTTGTGACTGTTGGGTGTGGTTACTTCCATGGGTTCGGCAACAACGGAGGCTGACGTAGACATGTTGTATGGTGTTCTGCAGCCGGGGCGCCTTGGATGAAATAAAGGAGTAGGAGAGCCAGGAGTGGATGCGGTTCTCGCAGAGAGCGAGGTTCAGGTTGGATGTCGTGGGCCGTTTTCGCTCTCAGGTTGGTCCTTACGTGGGTGTCTACAGCGCGCTCAGTCGCACCACCGGTCTGCCCTAACGAGTATCACACAGTCAGCTCCAATACCATGGGGCGCATCATGAAAAGGCGGCTGTTCGAGCTTGTTCACGATAGCCGCACGCATGCCAGTCAACAGCTTCAGGAAGGCGAACTTGGAATGCTGGGATCCCAGCATAGGGTGTGCGATCTTGGTATTCGCGCGATAGGATCAAAACAGCACGCATACGCCTCGGCATTGGACTTACCTCATGTCTACCAATTGATGCTCTCCAGGAGGGGAAACTTTATAACGAGATGACGGTGATCGCGAATGCCACCACACCCATAGGCGATAAGTGCCCGAATCAAACAGCGTCGTCCGGAATCTAGGCGCTGGTGGATGGATCGCAGCTCTCTCGCATCGGCGTCGCAAACAAGGTAGCTTCGTCGATCAGCCCGGGCTCCTTCGCACTGTAATTAACTACAGGTTGCCCACACAAAATGCAGATCGCAAGTCGAGAGAGTGCCGATTCAGTGTCGCATAGATGCGTAGGGGGTATTACAGCAGCTTCTGGAGGCTGCAACGTTGGTCGCGAAGCTTGATCAAGCTTGGGGGGGTTTGTCTGAGGAGCGAGCAACGGAGCTTGGGCGGAGTCGCGGACAGCTGGGGAACAGGAGCGAGACTGCACAATTGAAGGCTCCGGCGGATAGGCAAGGTCGGGAAAAAGCAAGATGCACGCTCAGGTGGTTGCGCAGGAGATGCAGAGGGTTGAGGATAGAAGGGCCAAGGACCGAGATGTGGAGGTCGACAAGATGAGAAGGTCGGAAGGTCGGCCGGCTGGAGAACACTGCTCGTGCTGGCTGGTGGTGAGTTAGGTAGGCGCTCCTGGCGCTACCTTCGGGGGGGGGAGGAGGAGAGTGGGGAAGGGGGACCCCCGGCCAGGCCTATTCGACCGTCTCCTAAAACCGCCCCAAGCCCACTAGAGGTGCGGCGTGTGGCTTGCGATTTTCATTCACACAACGCTGGGCTGTACCTATTGGCCTCCTAGAGGAAGTAGCTACGGCCTACAGGTACATGGAGGCATGGAGGGCGTCCACCACGGCATGCCCTCTGCTGCGGTACCTTCAATGGGGGACCCACCTGCCTACAGGTGGGTAAGTAAGTACTCCCAGTTAGCCTAGTCGGCCGCGTAGCCACATCAGAGATCCATTGGCCACTGAAGTGCTCTGTGGTACAGATTGTCTTGGGCGAGTGGAGGGGAGGGGGGTCTGGGGGAGCGCCGCGGTTCCCCTTGGCTGTCTCTCCTTAGGCCTTCTCTCGCCCGCAGCTGCCAAGCGATATTCCTGGCTTGAATATCTGTTTCTCCCTCCTCCCGACACGGCGGACAAAAGAAAAGAAAAAGTGGGAAGACGGAAAAAGGAAAGGGAAAAACGGGAGGCCGTGGCCAAGCTCGGTTGGAGAAGACGTGACAAACCAACATGGAGGTGCCCACACACATTGACCTTAATACATAATAATGCTCTGCTCCTCGTCTCGTGGGCCAGCGGATCCAAGAAGGCGGAATTAAGACCACCAGCACTGCACTGGCAAAAAGTCAGAGTCAGAAGCCACACAGTCCATGACTCCAATCTGATCCACGCCTCCGCCATCCACGATTCGGGCCCTCGATGCTACTGAGACAACCACCAAGTATCCCACCACTACTAGCCCTGCCTAGGCCGTTCCCTAGTCCTGCGGCGGAACAGGCGAAGAAGAACCAGACATCATTATGACCACAGCCAGATCTTGGAACAGGAGGGTTCCACCGCCCTTGTCTTGTAACCTGCGCTGGCGGGCGTATTTATACGTATGTAAATGCGTCCATGTATCCGGTCCGTGATAGGAAATAACACCCCATTTCACTCATCTGGCGACGGGACCCAATTCGCGGGACGCAAGAACCCGGTTCCCCTTGGAGGGAGAACGCCTGTCATTAGCAGCCCTCCGCATATCGCATATCGCATATCTCATCACCCTCCAATGTCCAGGTTATTTGACCTAGTGTGATGCCAGGCCGGGCTGCAGAAGCCCTGCCATTGGAACTGGGTCAGCTCCCAACGCTAAGAAATAAGCGTCGTCCACCTCAGCCAGACAGGCCGTTGCTACGCTGGTCCCCTCTCCCGCCCCAGAGTGCAGTGCAGGTACCGGCCTCCATGCGTCTACGCCAAGCTGATGTAGAGGTACGGAGCTGCTAGGTGCAGAACCTTGTTTCTCGCTGCTGC